GAGACTCCAACTCAAAAAAAAAAAAAAAAAGAAAAAGAAGGGGAACAAATACAATTGTGTAAAGGATGAGGCATCAGTTAGAGCGTCTTGCCTATGTCAAAGCTGGGTATTCCGTTATGGGTTTTCTATTGATTTCCATATTTTGACAGGTGGATGAAGACTACATCCAGGACAAATTTAATCTTACTGGACTCAATGAGCAGGTGCCTCACTATCGACAAGCTCTAGACATGATCTTGGACCTGGAGCCTGGTGAGGCATGCTCAGGGTTGTTTTGTGTGTGTGCGTGCTTTTTTTCATCTTCATATTCCTATTCACTCACTTTTTGAATTTCTAAATTTCCTTTGGTTCTTTGACTTCCTTAATCCAAAATCCTATGCTTCATTTTGATCCCTTACTTGACTTTTGTTTAGTTTTATGACTTATATCAGTCGTTCCCATACTTTCTGAATCTATAATTTGGCTCCATTCCATAGTACCAGTTTCCTCGTGGATCTTGTTTACTACCTCTTTTTTCTGCTTTCCACCTTCCAATCTAGAGATTCAGCTCCTGCACTGACATCATTGCATTTATGTGTTGAGGAGGTGGGTTGGGAGGGAGAGAAGAGAGCAGAGGCTAGAGAGGTGTGCAGAGAAGGCAGAGCTGCTTCTACTGCCTTTGCTGGTGTGCAGAGAAGGCAGAGCTGCTTCTACTGCCTTGGTTGGTGAAAGAGTCATAGACCTAAGTTTCTGGGTCACATCCCCAGATGATAGATGGGGTGAGACTTAAAGGTGGGTGCAGGACAAACTGAGTAGAGAGCAGTCCCTAGGGGTGGGCAGGGTGCCTAGAAAAGCTGAAAAATAAGTGGTTGCATCTGGCTGGGCTATATTTCAGATGAAGAGCTGGAAGACAACCCAAACCAGAGTGACCTGATTGAGCAGGCAGCTGAGATGCTTTATGGATTGATCCACGCCCGCTACATCCTCACCAACCGTGGCATCGCCCAGATGGTGAGGCCTCTCTGCTTCTACTTGACTCCTTCTGAGGCAGTAAGGGAAAAAGAGTCTACTGCAGCAAGAAATAATGTTTCAACCCTGTCAAGGCATCTAGCTGAGAAGATGGGAAGAACCCTAGCATCTGGGCCTGGGAATTGACTCCTTTATTGGGGGTCATTCTGAAGGGTGTTTTCAGGGAGGGAGAGGTGACCTTGAACAGGGAGTTGTTAGAGACTGCCTTTTCCTCAAGGAACAGATAGTGAATGGTCTGTGGTCTGCCTAACTAGAGGAAAAGCAGCAGTAATCTGAGGGTCTCTCTGGGCCAGAGAAGGGTCTTCTGAACAGAGATGGGAGTGGGACAGAGTGATGTGGGTTGGGCTGAGGGAGTTGTCTCTTCACACCTTCCTGCCAACCCCTTCCACTGTATTCACCTCAGTTGGAAAAGTACCAGCAGGGAGACTTTGGTTACTGTCCCCGTGTCTACTGTGAGAACCAGCCAATGCTTCCCATTGGTGAGTGTTGAAGAAGGGAGGGGAAAACACAATGTGGCAGTCTTCTGGGAAGGAGTTGGAGCTTGGCAAGTCCTGGAGAGAGGTTGGATAGGGTGGAGGGCTGCTTGGCTTGCTGAGTCTGGCTGTCTCCTAGGCCTTTCGGACATCCCAGGTGAAGCCATGGTGAAGCTCTACTGCCCTAAGTGCATGGATGTATACACACCCAAGTCATCGAGACATCATCACACAGATGGCGCCTACTTCGGCACTGGTTTCCCTCACATGCTTTTCATGGTGCATCCTGAATACCGGCCCAAGCGACCTGCCAACCAGTTTGTGCCCAGGTAGGGAAGTAGGAACAGAGTCATCAAGGTCAAAAGAAAGGCCTGAGATCCCTAAAGAGAAAAGAGGCTAGGGAATGGCCCTTCCTTGAGGTCTGCTTCTCCCAAAGTCAGTGCATCTCCCTGCTGAGTGACGGGGAGAGTTATTTGATTGCCCGTGCTTCAGTTTCCTTGTTATAAAACAGGGGTGACCGGGCTCGGTGGCTCAGCCTGTAATTCCAGCACTTTGGGAAGCTGAGGTGAGTGGATTACCTGAGCCCACGGGTTCAAGACCTGCCTGGGCAACTTGACGAGACCTCATCTCTACAATA